TATGTTTAAATAATATATATGATGCATAAATATACAGAATAAGTATATAATAGTCTAAATATACAGAGTACTAATATAGATCATGATATTATATAATGGAAGTCACGAAATGCTCGGATGTTTGCATGGACGTGTGTTGTCTTAGTGGGGGTCATTTCATTGTGTGACCACTGTGTGTGTGTGTGTGTGATTTGTGTATGTGTTTGTTTGTGTGTGAGTGTTTGTGTGTGTGTGTGTGTGTATGTGTGTGTGTGTGTGTGTGTGTGTGTATGTGCCTATATAATTGTATGTTGTTATTTTGTTTTTATTTTGTTTATGTTGTATCATGGTAAACTACTAATTTTAGCTAATTTTTTAATTAATACACACAAAAAATAAATATAAAAATATGAAGAAACATCACTTTAAAAATAATAAATTTACATTGTGCAAACATTTTTGTCAGCCCTGTTTGAATAATGGCAGGCTATCAAAGTGCCAATCTGTACCTCGGTTGTCGCAAGAAGGTTCCTTTTTTTTTAAACTACGCAATTACATTTCCTAAATTTGTACAACTTTTAAATTAATATATTGCAAAATGGCAATCCAATCTTAATCCGGAGAATATTGAAAGGATGCTACAACGCACGCAATCAATTTCTTTCATTATATTACCGTACTATATTATTTAATTAATGAGTAAATAAAATAAATAAATTAACTAATTCATTAATTAAATAATTAATTAAGTGGAAATGAACATCCTTGAAGAAAGGACAAACCATCTCTCATTTCACCTTCACTCAATAATATAATTTCAATTGTAACAAGTTTTAAATGGATTCATAGTTAAATAGCTATTTATTCAATAACCCGATCCATGTTACGTAGAGTATTTTTTGAAACTAAAAAACTATAACAGTGTAATGTTGTTATGTAACATTGTAATGTTGTGATGTTGTAATGAAACATTATAATGTTGTAATGTAACATTGTAATGTTGTAATGTAACATTGTTATGTTGTTATGTAACATTGTAATGTTACATTGTAATGTAACTTTGTAATGTTGTTATTCAATATTATAATGTAACATTGTAATGTTTTACTGTAATAATGTAATGTTACATTGTAATGTAACATTATAATGTTGTTATTCAATATTATAATGTAACATTGTAATGTTGTTATGTAATATTGTAATGTGACATTGTTATGTAATGTTGTTATGTAACATTGTAATGTTGTACTGTAATAATGTAATGTTGTTATGTAACATTGTAATGTTGTTATGTAACATTGTAATGTTGTTATGTAACACTGTAATGTTGTTATGTAACATTGTAATGTTGTTATGTAACATAGTAATGTTGTAATGTAACATTGTAATGTTGTAATGTAACATTGTTATGTTGTTATGTAACATTGTAATGTAACATTGTAATGTAACATTGTAATGTTGTTATGCAATATTATAATGTAACATTAAAATGTTGTTATGTAACATTGTAATGTTGTTAGTTATGTAATATTGTAATGTGACATTGTTATGTAATGTTATTATGTAACATTGTAATGTTGTTATGTAACATTGTAACGTTGTTATGTAACATTGTAATGTTGTAATGTTGTTATGTAGCATTGTAATGTTGTTATGTAACATAGTAATGTTGTTATGTAACATTGTAATGTTGTAATGTAACATTGTAATGTTGTTATGTAACATTGTAATGTAACATTGCAATGTTGTTATGCAACATTTTAATGTTGTTATGTAACATGGTAATGTAACATAGTAATGTTGTTGTTAAAACCAAATCATTGACGAATGACACCAAAAGCCAAGCGTCTGACTAAATTTGATTTTATTTGTTGTTATGTAACATTGTAATGTAACATTGTAACGTAACATTGTAATGTTGTTATGTAACATTGTAATGTTGTAATGTAACATTGTAATGTTGTTATGTAGCATTGTAATGTTGTTATGTAACATTGTAATGTAACATTGTAATGTAACATTGTAATGTTGTTACGTTAAATTGTAATGTAACATTGTAATGTAACATAGTAATTTTGTTTTGTAACATTGTAATGTAACATTTTAATGTAACATTGTAATGTTGTTATGTAACATTGTGATGTAACATTGTAATGTAATGTTGTTATGTAACATTGTAATGTTGTAATGTAACCTTGCAATGTCGTTATGTAACATTGTAATGTTGTTGTGCAACATTGTAATGTAACATTGTAATGTTGTAATTTAACATTGTAATATTCTAACTATGCAACATTGTAATAATGTAATATTGCAACAATGGGGTATTCATTAACGAAGATGTGATGTGAGCTTTTTCATATTTGAGGACAAACAAATTGAAGGACAGTTACGTGCTCTAACATAGATTCCAATAATCACGTGATATTTAAGTAGCATTGAGACGATCACGTGATGTGGAAGTAGCATTGAGACGATCACGTGATGTGGAAGTAGCATTACTTTTTCAATATTTACTTCTATAAATTAAAGTTTGTAAGCAAGCGTTTAAAAGTGTTTCTTTTACAAGTAAAAAACGGATATGTATCATATGGATATGGATAAGTAGCCGCGGATCATCTGCTGGCAATTTTTTTGCGCTCGTCTGCAGACCACGCATGATTTTTATTCACCATTAGTTGACTGGGTGGATTTTAAAAATTTCCTCTACTGGTTGGTCGTTGATGATTGGATTTTTATGAATACCAACAGGTTCCTCCGATTCCTATATTAAAAAAAATTTCAACTGAAAAATGTAGAAATATGTTTGCTCTTTTTACAAAGTATTTGTAAAATTTCGATTTTGAAAATTGAATTTATTTCAGAAAAATATTGAAACAAACTTATTTTTTATAAGTAAACATACTATTTGATAGTTAATTTATTTAAATTAAACTAATTAACTCGGTTCAACCGATTGAAATGAAAAATTAGAGACTCTACAAGAAAGTTAATTAAAAAATGTAATTAAAGTAATTAATTAGAAAGAGAGCAAGCAGGGTAGCAAGTTAAAATGGAGTGGATGTTGTTTGATCAATTATAAAATAAATAAATGTTTTCTGTTTCAAAAATGAAAATAAAAGTTTTAAACTACTCATTGTAAGCCACGTGCAAATTAAATTTCCATTATTTCGGTTTTTCACAATTAATTAAGGTAATAATTTTTTTTATAAACTTTGAACAATGTTCATCAGTTTGAAAAAATTATCAGAATATGTTGTGTTAAATGTGTCTGGCTAAGTATGTTCATAAGTATATACGTTAAGTATGTGTGTTTTTATGTGCATATTTGTATGTGTGAAGTATGATTGTGTGTGGTGTGTGTATGCATGGACTCCGATATTTTAGTTTTACTATTTTGGAGTCCGTGGTGTGTGTTAGGTAATGTATATTTGATAAGCGTATGTTTGATATAGGAATGTGGAATGTATGTTCTATGTATGCATGAGGTCTGTATGTGCGTGTGTGTGTGATGTATGTGTGAGTAATGTACTTTGGCACTCCTCAGCTTTGCAAACATGTTGTCCAGTTGCACTGAAGTTAAGTGTGAAATAAATGCACGCAAAATATTTTACGATTTTAATAAAAATTTTGCATTAGCGGCATAATGCAGAAAGTCGTAAAGTTCAATGTGGCAGTACGTGCTGCATCTGTATGTACGTGATGAACGTTGTATATGAGCATTCGTATCAATTTATGTGATACCTACCTATATGTATAACTTGTATATTAAAAATTTTTGTATGAGTATTAATATAATTTATAAGACCTGTGCGTACGCGTGTGTGTACGTGTCTCTCTTACTGTTTGTGTCGTGTATGTTTGTTTGTATGCGTGCGTGTTCGCCTGAATTTGGCGGTGCTGGAGGATTTAAAAATTTCAAAGCTGATGACCTTCATTGCTAATTCAGTGATAGGCACGATTTCCAAAATTCTCAAGTTAAGGATTTTTTTAGCTCATTTCAGTTTAATTTGTTATTTCATTTTGCACGGAATTTTCAATATTTCCTCTTGCATGATCTCCATCCCCATTCCACTGGATCCGTCACAGCGTGTGTGGCGTATGTCGGTCTGTATGTATGATGTGTTTTTTACTTCATGTGTATTAACAACTTACAACTGAAATGTTGAACTTCACGAGATCTAAGACACTTATTAATTAATTAAATAAACAAATTAGAAGCAAGCCTTTCTGTCAACAAATCTTATTTTTTAATATGTGCACTCACTCGTTCGATCGATGTAAATCCTCGCGTCTTCCATGCACGATGGCTGGAAAATAATGGAAGCAAAAACGGAGACGTTTTTGTTTATTTATACCAAACTGCAGCAACTGTCCTGTTAAACTGTACTTTAATTTGTACATTTGTGTTGTAGTTATGGTCTGCCACACAATTGCAACTCACAAACAAGATTATACATCAGTTGGAGCAAACATGGTACAACTTAAAATTCAGTCCTCCGTAAAAACATTCGTCACGAGGCGTGCAAGTTATGAAGACATTCATTTTTAAGCGCATGTTCAAATCTTATCGCTTGCTGCCTATCACAACGTTTTTATTTGTTCATTTTGCTAATTTTGACAAATGTGCTCGATTGATTGAGATTTCGTGTTGCTTATAACAAGATTGCTCTGAATTGTGAAGGTGGTCAGGGTCAGGTTCAATGTCAGGGTCATGGTTCAATGTCAGGGTCATGGTGAAAACAGCGGCATCTTAGATGTGGTAAGTATTTGGAAGGAGTCAAAGATTTTCAGACGAACATAGAAAAATAATTTCACACATATACTGCATAATATATCGATCAATCTGTAAAAATTAAAATTTATAGATACAATTTTATTCTAAAACATTTGTTATGAGATAATGGAATGTGTTTGTCCACCTATTTGTTCATGTTTATATCGAGAGAAATTTACCAATTATAAATAATTTTTATGCTCTTGGTAGCAATAAATATTTGAACTGAAATTGATTTTTAAACTAACAAATTGAACATTTTAAAGAGTCACATAAAATTCAGTTTCTTTAGCTGCACTGCTTCTTGTTTATTAATGAAACGTTAAAAAAAAGTATTTTCTTAAATTTTGTATGTTCAGTTACCAACGGATCCAAACATAAAATAAAAATTATAAATAAAAAATGCAGGTCAATCAATCAATCAATCAATTAGCTTATAAAGCGCTATTTCCGCGATGTTCAACAGCGCTCCTCAATGAATTTTGCAAAAAGATGGGTCTTGAGATCCGCTCTGAACTTCGCAAGTGATGGAGAAGTAGTCAGAGAAGTAGGTAGAGAGTTCCAGAGAAAAGGACCAGAAAAAGCAAAAGCAGATTTGGCAAAAGAGTGTTTAACACGAGTTAAGAAAAAGCGAGAAGAAGAAGACGATCGTAAACCGGGGCGTTTAGGTTCAATTAATATATCTGATAAATACTTAGGAAATAATTTAGATTGAGACTTATACATGAACGTGCAAATTTTAAAAATTATTCTATATTTTATAGGTAGCCAGTGCAAGAGAACAAGATATGGAGATATATGAGAAAAGAAAGGGGCACGAGCAACTAGACGAGCAGCAGAGTTAAAAGCTTTACTTAAAAGATAGAGTATAGAGTCAGGAAGACCATAGTAGAGCGAGGTCGGTGGGATGAGAGGTTAGGACTTGTTAGCGCTGGCGTGGCGATTCAACATTTGATGTTCAAACCTCCCGTTGCAGATGTTCGAACGCGATGTTGCATGGGACGTGATGTTCTTAATTTGATGGGTTTATTGAGGCAGAAGATTATTTTGAAATATCAGAGATGGCTATTTTAATGCTACCTATATGTATTTAACGTTTTCATTATTTGCGTGCGTGTGTGTGCATGTACATGTATCTTGTGTGTGTGTGTGTTTTTGTTCACCTCATTTGTTTATTTTCTACACCATTTGTAATTTTTTTAATTCGTACGTACACACACACATACATGTTTCCTCATACACTAATGCACATACGTATACTAACATAATACACATACATGCATTAACAGGCATACACAAAAGAAAATTATACATACGCATTTATACATACACACGCGCACATATACACGTATGTACTTGTACAGACACACATATTCAGATACATTTACACATCCATATACACACACATCTAAGCATACATAGAGACATCAGTTGTTTTTAAGCTTCAGTTTAACTTGCATTCAACTGAAGTATGATGTTTTTGCAGTTGTTTGTTCTTGCGATAAAAAGTGTCTTTTGATGGAAAGAACAATTGATCCATTAAAAACTCTATTACATAACAATCGGATCAAAAACATAAACTTGAAAACATATTTTTGCATATCTCTTTGTTGTCCTATCAAAAACAATCACGTTGAAAACAGTTGAGCTGGCTGTATAAAACAATTTTAATATTTCTATACTGTACATTCATACGTTTGTATGTGTGTTTTTTAAGCCATCATTTCATTTTCAATCTTCTCATGCTTAAACATTCTTACTCAGTTATTTATTTTTCGTTATCATTCTATACTACTGCTTTAACATGTTTTCACAGTTTCTGCTTTTGTCTGATTCTGATTTTTTGAAGAATAATAAAAAATATTATGACAACATTTTGTTATGCTATCAAACCAATGATAAGATGGTTCTTCTAGTGCTGTCATACAGTCATTCATTCTGGTGGAGGAGTTTAAGAAAACTTTGTTGAGTTGTGATGGACAGTTGGTACCCTACCAACATGTTGCCAGGCGTCCCTAGGCCGTACACTACTGTTTAGATTACTACTCAACAGAAAAGATACTTCGAATATGAACCATCATTAAATGGCTTGTAGTAACCCCGATCTCTTCTTAGCTTCAATGCAACGTTTATAAAAAAAAATTCTAAAAATGTTTATAAACAAACCAACGAACCAACACAAGAACAAACGAACAAACATAGCAACGTGCTCCATTCAGTGTTTACCTCCACACGTACAATCAAAACAGAGGCTGACGAACACGTACAGTAATTACACGCTGAGGTAATGAGGTGCACATTTTAATATCAGGCACAAAGTCGGTTGCATTATATTCATAAAATTGTGTAATTCGTTGTTTGTATATTTTGCTTTGTATTTAGATTTGTATTCATTTTACGCATGCAAGTTTTGTTTTTGTTGTAGTTTTTGTTGCATATAATTACGAACGTGACCTGTGGTTGATGTGAGGTCATCTTGTTGTCACATTAACAATGAAACAACTCTTTCCACTTGTCAACTTCTCTTGCAATCAATTATTTTTTTATTCTATGTTTATATCCATATTTTTTTGTTATTTTTATAATAATAATAATTAAAAGATTGTTGTAATTTTTTTTAAGATGTTTCATTTATTACCATCAACATACCCCAAAGACTTGTTTCTCTCAAACGGATATTTTCATTGACAAAATGCTAGCCACGATTTGTGAGGTTTTAAAGATGTCCATTGAATGAAGTTTTCGACAAATGCTTTTGGAATATTTTTTTAAATTTTTTGAGTTAACATTTTTTGAAGACATGCAAATAAGTTTGTAAAGTCATAATTATCAAAACCACAACAACAACAAATAGTAAACAACAACAAACTGCAGCCGCAACAACAACAAACAACCATCCAACAAACAAACAAACAACAAAAAATTAACAAAGGTGACAACAAAGACAAGTTTCGTTAATAACAATGCTTTCAAATGCAAAAATCAACATCCAAAATATTTTTTGTTTGTAAATTCGTGAGAGCACAGCCATCTATCTTCGAATGGTACGCATAACGTCAGTGCAGTTGAAGACAACAACCCAACACGACACATCAACGAATTAGCAAACCTTCCCGCCCATACAACAAAATAAATGCTATAGCGCAACATTATAAGACAACAGTTGTTGAGTTGAGAGTCGTTTGTTTGTGACATTCGTGTTGCATTCACTTCTGCTCATTAATCAAAACACAAAACATCGCAGGCGAACATTAACAACAACCACAGACCAAAAAACAGCTTACATCAACAACAATAATTAACAATAACATCAATAGCAATAATTAACAACAACATCTACCATACACAAAAACGACAACATACAACAACAATTTAACAACAGTTTACGTAAAAAATACATCAATAAAAAAACCTACCCAACAATACAAACATCGACCAACATATTCATAATACAAACCATCAAACGTTTATAGCACCAAACTTTACTTACGTTTCATCAAAGTGCAATACATTACATGAATCATTACATCAATTCACTACATACATCAGTGGACTACGTACATCAATACTTTACATATTTACATCACGTCAATGCATATTACAGCTAACATTTCATCTAACTAGTGGATGTGACATCACATGCCTGCATTACATTACGTAGTAAATTACATCAATGCACATCGCATCAACGTTTTTCGCATAAAAGTCATTACACACAGAACTATTAACAACAAACTTCAAACCAACAAACAAGCAGACACAACTGGCCGAACACAAAACGTTGTTGACACAGTCCAACGCAACGAAATACAGCTGCAGATACAATACGCAGCTCATTAACACAGATGTACAAAAACAACAACTACGACTGAATGTCGCGTGCACAAAGTTCATAAGAACCACAGCACAGCACCGTGGCAACACAACAACGCAGCAACAATATAACGTCATAACGTCACACAGCCATACGAAAACACAACAACATAACAACACAACAACAACAACAACAACAACACAAAACAACAGCACACGAAGCAAACACGCCTTCCCAACAACACACAGCCGCAAACACAAACGCGCACGCAAATTTATGCACACACACACATACACACACATTCGTTACCCACACGTACAAGCAAGCATACTTTTAAAAACCGACAAAAACGCAAGCAAGCACTAACGAACAAACAAACAAACAAGTAAACAAACAAACAAACAAATAAACAAGCAAACAAACAAGTGAACAAACAAACAAGTAAAAGAACGCAGACAGGCAAGAAGAGACATTGATAAATGTTTTCCCGCTACAGAAATGCCGCCATTAATTAATTCCAGGGATGGGCGATGCATAAATCATCGTGCGGTTACCGTAGAAACAAAACCAAAGATACTTTATTCTAATAAGATAATTTTTATCACTCACGATTTTTTAGAAATTTTGAGCTTTTGAAACATATTGTTAGAGTGTTAGATTTCAATGTGGCGTGTACACGAACTCTACGTATCAGAAACTTTGACAACATTCGAAAAAACTTTTAAATAAATCCAACCTTGGAAATTTATTAAAAATTCTGGCGTTGAAGATGCTGGTGATGGCGTTAGCAGTGATGATGATGATGTCATTATTTCGACGCGTACCACGTGACTGTTCGTAACGTAAGCTGATTGGTTCACGACCCAATCATCGCATGACGTCACAACATTTCCGGCAGACATCTTGAAGTTATCATTATCGTCCGCTGATGATTTTTCGTTTGTTTTCAATCCTTTGATGCTGCTGCTATCTTTCGTTAGCATGTTTGTTGCGTCATAGATTTTGAACAATTTGTGGCATCGCATCTGATTGGTTGATTCGGTAGGTGACGTCATATGAAATTCAACCAATGAGAAGTTCCAATGCATTCCCGCCTTTGCAGAAAGTTCGACAATGCAAGAAGCTAAAATGATAAAAAAAATAAATTTGAGAATGAACAATGTAAACAAACGAACGAAGAAGCAAACAATTAAGTAGGCGAACGAATCGGGTGGACGAATCAATATTTGAGTGGTGGACGAATAGTTGAACCTAAAATTTAATGAATAAATGATTGTTTGAATGAATGAAAAAATGAATGAAAAAATGAACGAATGAATGAATGAAAATGAATAGAAAATTGTTTGCTTTGTACCACTTGGTAACCACAAATACTATCGCAATATATTATTGTAATGATTGCACAGATCATTGTAGATATTATCATTGCTGTCTTCGGCATTGTTGTCATCACTGTTGTCTTTATAAATATTTTAACATCAACAAATCAAAATCAACAATTTAATGATGAAATCATTTTGCCGAAATAATTTAAGAAAATAAAAAACTTTTATAAATCACTTACGCTGTTGTTGTTGTTGTTGAAGATGACGTTGTTGTTGATGTTGTTGTTGATGTTGTTGTTGTTGTTGTAACTTTAGGCTTATTTGATTAATTACATTACTAGAAAGTACACCGTGTTGTTGTTTTATTGGCTCGTAGTTGATATTGTTGATGTCGTTGATGTTGTTGGCAGATAGTTGTTGAAAGCAGTTTCGGCTGGTAACTTTAATGACTGTTACAAAAACAAACAAGACCTCTTATAAAAGCAATTGCAGCCTCCTAATTGCTGCTTTTGTGCCAACTAAAACAACATTTCAAGATATCAATCATCAAACTACCACCATCGTCATCATCAAACTGTAATCGTCACCATCATTAAACTAGTCTCATCATCACAATCATAAATATATCATCATAAGCATCATCACAACCATCATCACAACCGTCATCATCATCATCTTCGTCATCATCATCGTCATCGTCAGTATCGTATCGTCATTTTAAATCATCACATTGTTATTGTTATATATTCGTTCATTCATTTATTGTCTTATATATTTTTTTTTACTTATATACTTAGTAACAGTACATTGAAAAGCATCAGCAGCATGTGACAACAAAAACACCCAGCCACCCAACAGCAGCCGAGACCTACCCCCCACCTCAAACCACATTCTAGTAACTTTTTTTGTTTTTTTATAAATTATTATTTCCATTCAGCTGTACTCTATTTCTTTATAGAAAATTTTTTTAGAATATGAAATAACAAAAACTTCTCAACTCTTCCTAACTCTGCTAGTTCAATGAAGAAAATAAACAATCAAGACTTCTATTAAAATATTTAGACCACTTTTTAACAACACCGAAAAATAGTAGCACTAACAACAACAACAACAAAACTAACAACAACAACGACAACGCAAACACCATCACACAACAGCAGCAACAGCAGCAGCGACGACATTAACCACCTGGCAGACATTCATAATGCACATGTAGGAAGGACTCCAACTCCGAGCAGGGTTTCAGGTTGCCGAAGGACAGGAAGACCTCCAGTGAGCAGGAGAGCCTCTGTCCACACATCAGCCTCAAGCTGTCCGTCACATCATTCTGACAATCGAAGTGGCCGAACTGTCGACTGACACATCTTTTCGAGAACATTCTGCCATATCTGTGTGGAGGGCGAGAAATTATCCGATGATGATGATGATGATCGTGATGATGACAACGATGGTGATGATGGTGAAGATGATGATGAAGATGATGATGATGTTGATGATGATGCTGATGATTTCAAATATATTCGATAATTTTCACGATGGGATGGTTACGGTGATGCTGAAAATTATTCCATGACTATTGTTGTGATGAATTTTGATAGTAATTAATCATTATGGGGATAAAAAATGAGTGAATGATAATGAAATGCAAATGATGAAAATAATGATGAAGAACCAAATGGTGGTGATGATGATGATGGTAGTATTAAAAAGGCTGAGGAGGAGAAAAATTCATTCCTTCATGCAATGAAGGAAAAAAGATGGCGGAATTAACGAACATTTCCAGGAAAGCTGACAATGATGCTAATTACAAACGGTGGGAGTCATGATGATGATGGTGACGAAGACGACGATGATGATACTGATGGTCGCGATGGTGATAACATTGATGATGTCATTGATGATGAAGATGATGAGAATGATGGTGGCAACAAAGATGACGACGACGATGAGAATGAGGATGAGAATATGATGATGATAACAACGTTGATTCTAATAATGGCGATGAAGACGATGATAATGTCAATGATGATGATGATGATGATGATGATGACGACGACGACGAAGATGATGGTAGTGATGACAAGGTCGATGTGATTTGGATGACAATAGTGAGGTTGTTGTTTGCTGTTGATGGCTCAAGTTTGAAGATGAACAACGGCGATGGTGGTTTTTAACGGGGGAGGGCCCAACATTTTTAAAATGTTGAAATTTTACAGGGGGTCCGGGAAATTTCTAAACCCGCCAATGATGATAAAATGTTAAAGATGGAAATACTAATGAATATGAATGTGAAGGTGGTTACGAATGTGATGATATGATGCAGGTTTTAAGATTTCTAAGATTTCTTAGTTGAGGCGAATTAGTTTTTTTGATGAGAGGTTGTAGTCGTTGAAGTTGTTGCTGTGTAGCAAACCAGACCAGATTAAAACCAGTTGAAATTCATCAATTGCGTACATCAATTTTTTAGACGATAAACTAATTAATAACAACAATAACAATAAAATAATAATAATAACATAATTAATAAAATCAATAGTAACAATAAAAATCATGCTTGTAGTTATGAATAAGATAATTTGTGACTTTGAAGAAGATCACACACGCACTCATGATTTGATACCTACACAGTCTGAAGATTTTAAGATTTTTTTAAAAATTAGAGTTAATTCTTGCATTTAAATTGTATGCAACGTTTTTTGCCGCTAAACACCATCATCATATTATCACCATCATCATTGCACGTTCATGTTACTCTTCTTCATTATGAGTCACCAACCACAACCACACTTCTTACTGGAGTGAATTTGTACGTATAGACAACACTCCAATAGAGTGTTACTTGTGAATGATGAATTAATTGAGTGAATTAATTGAGTGAATTAATTGAGTGAATTAATTGTCTGGAATGAAATGAGGTACCTGGCGAGTTGGATGTTGATGACGTGGAAGGAAGGACACGTGATGTTCAACTTCTCCCTCAAACATACCTCCTGCTCAGCTGTCATTGTGACGTCATAAGAATATAAGAGTTAAATTTATCGAAGATTTGGATGAATTAGTTTCATAATAAAAACAAATATTGTATAAAATGATCTTTCTAAATAAATGTCAATGAATTGTAGCAACGAAATCATTAACGAAAGTTTGAGTTGTTATTTGCGAAGCGCAAGTTGAACAAACAATCATAACAATTTTTCGTAAGCATATAAATTGATGATGAAGATGACGATATGGATGGTGGTGAAAATGATGTAGATAATAAAAATGATGATGATGATGATGACCCGGCTCACGTGACCACCGCCACACCTGCGACAGCAGCAGTAGCAGACCTCTGAGAACAGCTGCAGTGATTAAACGAGATGCGATTTCGTGTCATGATCAGACCCAGCTCATTCACTCCTCCTGATTTATTGAATTTGTGTTCATATAAAATTAATTATACGTGCTCAACAAATATTCTACACTTTCAAAGAAAGCTCTGGAAATGAGAAATGGATTGAAACTGATTTGTGCTGCTGTGATTGTCTCTTGGTGCTGGGTCAACGTTGTTTTTAATACGGTAACAAAATGATTTTCAATATCCATGCAAGGTAGAAGGTTAAACATTTTTTTCTGAATCTTTCTTTTTTTTACAATTATTATTAACATAAACTCGCTTCTTTTGGCCTCCTACGGACTGTCGACGTTTGCAAGTTTTGATGTATAAACTTTGCTTATCACTCAAAACACCATCCAACATATGGACAGCATTTCATCAAAAATTTGACGATCATTTTGTTTTTTATTCCACAATTTTTATAGAAAAAAAGTTTTTTATAAAAATTTGCCAAAGGTTGTGCAACTATTTTAAATCGAAATTTTAGATTTTGTTAAATTCAACGTTTATCCTAAGAAATCATCCTTTGTGGGAGTCGCCAGTCTCAGAGTTTCATCTCGTATGCACCTCAAGTTTGATTTTATTTGTTCAGCTCTAGAAAAAATATTTGTCTAAAAAGTTATTCACCACATACATTGTCAACAAAAATGAACAAGAAAATACATTATATATATTTTTTTTTTATTATTATTTATTTATTTAAAGGATAACCAAAAAAGATAAACTTGTGGATAGGCCACCCTTAACTAAGAATTCCAACTGTAAATGTAACAGAAATGTCAAATAAATACATACACACAAATTCTTCCTATAAATGTAACAGAAATGTCAAATAAATACATACACACAAACACATGCTCACACGTACATCATTCCATGAATACTGTCATGTTTCATATAGTACCTAGAGGTGACAGTATAGTCACAACTGAGACTGAAAAATTCGCTTACTAAGAACGTCAAAATTAAATAAGTTGTAAAATAGTGTAAAACTATTTAAAATAAGTGTTTTTTTAACTAAAAAAGTTTTTAGCTTGTTTTTAAATAAGTTTAATGAGTTGATTGTTTTAATTTCATGTGACAATACAGTACCCCATACCCTCGGATCATTAAGTTTCATGCTCGAGTGAAAAGCTTTTAATCTCACAGTATGAGAATAGAAAAGGGAAGTGTGTCTAGTAAATTTCCTTTGAATGTCATTGCTAAAAGTGAAAAAATTGGCAAAATAATTAGGCAACTGTTGACGTAAAAATTTAAATACAAAAATTGATGTGAAATATATATATATATATATATATATTATAATTCATAAATAAACAAATATATAACTATTTGTACTTTTTTTAAATTTACATTTCATCTAGGTGCTGTCACCAATAATTATTTGACATCATTTTTTATTACTCCTACAAAATGTGACATGCTTTTTATATGCATAATTTTTTCCCTCGTTTTCTACCTCGCATGTTGTAACTTGCTCTGCGTCTATTTGACAGAGTGGGATTTACAGAACTGAAATTAAAAAAACTTCCAATTTTTTCAATTTTCAACTCCCTGCTCAACTTCGGTTATATGAGTAATTTAATTTGGCAGGTCAACTAATGAATTGCTTCATACACATATAATACCTCATTACTGGCTCTCAAACGCCCCTTCGCACATTTTTGTAGTCTGGTAGTCTGGTCACGCTCTTTAGTTTCCATGAATCATTATTCCTCAAACTCATCAAATTTAACAATTTTTACATTTCTTATAGTTTATTAATAAACATCTATTCATTTTTTTGAAAATTTTACTCATTTTAATTATTATTTAACCGATTTATTTCATGCATCTGCAAGATATTTATGCGTATCTAGTATCCTTTTACTAGTGTACGTGTAGCTGTATAGTTGAACTGATCTGAGCTTGTAGAGCTTGACAGGAATTCACCTGATTTGCTTTTAAACATTTGAACTCATTTTTTTATAAAACGAAAAAAAAATATTTTATTTGTCGATAGAATTGTTAGCGCTCTGATCAAAGTATCATGGAAACTGGAATAAATAAGTATGACAGACATGTTTGGTGTGGCCAAATATTTAGTTATGAACATTTTTCGGCCTTCAAACAATATTTCAAATGATTTTGAACATTTTATGTGCACTTGAAATGTTTTTCTGTGCAATACTTTTAAACCAAACTTTAAACCACATAATAAGAATGATTTATATATCACTCAATTATTCATCTCCTCGTCAAATTTTGTTATCAGAAAACTTCCATGAGAGTAAAATAGAGTGTAGGACTTCAGGCGGAGCATGGCTGAGAGGTCATCAGGAATGTTAGGAGCACCTGACCTGACCAGTCGGCATGCACCTCGTGGATGAGTTGAAATGTGAATGAGATACTCAAATATTTATTAAGCCACGTCAGAATTTAAAACAAAAGTGTCAAGGATCAAATGAAATGGTGGTCGTGGCAAAAACTTTCAAAATACAAAATTTTTGTTTCAGTGCGTTGCGTGCAGAGCACGCGCGATGCAAAAAATATAATATTTTTTTTACGTTGTTCAACTTTTATGGAAACTAACAATCACCATCTGTGTGTGGACACGTTGGTGTGAACAGACATCCGCTCATATCTACACACACACACACACACACACACACACACACACACACACACACACACACACACACACATAGTCACATGCGTTCAACCATACATTCGATCGTGCGCACACTACACATACGTTGTTGCATCCATCCAAACACACAGGTACGCTCAGACAACCATGCACGCAAACAAACTTGTAAATATGCAAGCAAACATAAGCAAATGCATGCATACACACAAACCGGTTTAGTTATAAATACAATATATATTTTTATAATTTATATAACTTTTAGCCATGCTACATTGTACGTGTTGTCTGTGTATACATACATGTTGCTTGTATGCAGCGGGTATCAAGCAAATATAGATTTACAATAACTTATACATTCTTATGTATATTTTTACATTAAAAATACCGTATGTACAAGCTAGTACACTTATAAACAGTTGACAAACATACATCTCACAAAGCATATACGTAATATACCTCCATTTACATACAAAACCAACACATAAAAAAATTCAAATACAAAACATTTACATGCAAAACATTTTCATATGAAACATTCACATAAAATAATACAAAACATACACATACAAATATACAATACATACACGTACAAAACATTCACAAACAAACATTCACATACCAAACACACACTTAAAAAACACACATCCAAAGCACATGCATATATTCACATACTAAACATTCACACGCATATATTCACATACAAAACATTCACATGCATACATTCACATACAAAACCTACATGAATGTATACAACTTGCTTGGAGCACACCTGTTTAGTTAGAAAGATTTGAGAAATTAATATTCAATAAATGTTCGTTCGTACTTGCCTCTTGATTGATGGCTTCAACATCGCCATCCATCGCCAGCGTCTTTTATTTAAGTCTACCTTCTGCCAGCCTCATTTTCATTATTGTACTTTTAACATCATTATTTTTGTTTTATCGTTATCATCATCAACATCATCACATGAACATAATCATCATCATCAACAACATCGTCATCATCATTTCAACATTGCTATCATCGTCTGTATGCATCATCATCATGCTATTAATCACCATAAATACACATCATCACATCAGCACATACAAACAGCCTCACATCATCACATCACCACTAGCACCGTCGTTTATAATTACTTTTTTATGATTACCAGGCTGACGCAATCGGAACGTTACAGCGATCAAACACGCGAACAAGCGAACATGCAAATAAACAATCAAACGTACGAAGCATTTAAACAAACAAGCTAAAAAATAAAAGTGCAAACATACGTGAGAACGATCAAACCTGATAGTGAACAAACGAACAAACATGAATATAAAAAGTATCTACATTAAAAAACGAACAAACATGAAAACCAAGAACGTAAGAACCAACAAGTGAATTTGAAAACAAACAAACAGACGAACGAGAACGAGAACAATTATACAAACAAACGGATGATCCTAGGCAAATAATAACATGCATGTAAGTAAGTAATTCTACGCCTTTGTACTCGTTGCAGGTGCAGGTGCGTACGAATTTGCATGCAGTTCGCTTTTGCGCGCGTGTACATACATTTCAAACGCATCAGTCGACGAAGAAATATAAATTTTTACAAAGAGAGTGATGTTTAATTGTTTGAATGATTTTTTGATTGCAGTTGGTTGCATTAATTAAATCCAAACGTAGCATTTTATACCATGCAGTTGGTGGGTGTATGTGAGTTGTTTGTCTGTCTCTGGTTGGTGGTTAGGTTTACACACACACGCACACACACACACACACACACAAACACACACACAAACACATACGCACGCACGCACACACACTCACATACATACCTACACATTATAATATATATATACTATACATTGATAATTTAGTTACACCTGCATTTGCAGTAGTATTTTATACGTATTTTATTGCTGGGCTAACGAAATTACACACATCAAAGCTAACGGTATCATTTTACATTGATATGTTGCCGTGATGTTGTGTGGTTGTGTGCTTTTGTGATGTTGTGTGTTGTGTGTGTGTGTGTGTGTGTGTGTGTGTGTGTGTGTGTGTGTGTGTGTGTGTGTGTGTGTGTGTGTGATGTTGTGTTGTTGTTCAGAGATGAATGTTCTTGATATAATTTTTTCTGTTACTGATTGATATGTTTATTGATGTGTTGCTGATGTGCTGTTGTTGTTGATGTGTTGTTGTTGTTGATGTGTTATTGAGGTGTTGTTGCTGTTGTTGATGTGTTGTTGTTGTTGTGATGTTATTTTGTTGTTGTGTTGCTCATTATAACAAAAAATTAAGTAATTGAAAACCATAGACATCGCAATCAAAGTGTAGTATAGGTTTTGTATACATAAACGCTACTCTGATCTGAAGGAGCGTTGTGTCTGTTGTGTCGCTGGCGTAGTGGCGATATGTGGTCATTTGTGTCCACAACCTATCTTACCATTTTATATATCTAAAAGTAAAATTGTGGAAACATAAAATACGCCATCATCTCAACTGAACAACCACAACTACAACAATTACATCAACTACGTGAGCATCTTCATCAACAACAACAACAACAATAATAATAATTATAATATAAATAATAACAATAATAAATAATAATAATAATACAAGCAACAGCAAACATCTTGGCCACGTTTTCTTTAACAAGTTCATAAAATTTGAACATAGGTGTGAAAAAAATAAAAAAATAATAAAATGCTAACGACTTGTTTTATTGCATGTGGTTTGTTCGTTTGTTTGTTTGTGCCTGGGCATGTGCGTTTGTGTCTGGCCTTGTGTGTTTGTGTATGGCTTTGTGTGTCTGTCTACTTGTTTATATGTTTGTTTGTCATATGTATGCTCGTCTTATAAAACGTGCATGGTGTGAGGTGATTGTAACTTAACTTACGTTCATATTTCAGCACATCATTCCACGAACAATCTCAGATAAATATAAAATTTAATGTAAGGGAATTATCGAGCAGTTAAACAGGTTCCCCTGTTTGTGGCATGAGATCTTTACAGGGCTTTAGAAATGGTTAAAACTTTTGTTGTAATTAATCTTCATTGGGTGTTGGGTGGTGGAGTGTTTGAAACCGGTTTCTGTGATGCATCTCTACTCCATGACCAATCAAGGTTCAGATTGTTTAAGTTGCACAAACACAAATTATGAGTCTTTAAATATTGTATATTTAATATGGCAAAAAAAATAGGTGATTTCAAACAAATAATTGCTAAAATCATTGTCGCTGAAGTCCGCCAAACACTACAAACTAAATAACCTAGCAAGAAATCACAGGAAAACAAGAAAATCTTGAAAATGACGTCATTTGTGACGTGGCAGATAATTAAACAACTGTCATTTTGCCACAATGATCCGTTCGTCAATCCAATCAATCATCCTCTGTCTACCCATCCATTCATTCGTCCATTTATTCATTCATTCATCCATTTAATCATTTTTTGTTCATACATTCATTTATCAGTTTTTCCATTTGTTTAATTATTCATATGTCTATCCATTTGTACATTCGCCTGTACGTCTATCATCTATCCATCTATCCATCTATTCATCCATCCATCCATCACCCATCCATTCATCCATCCATTCATCCATCCATCTTTCAATAACTCTCAGAAAGTTTACACACTTCTAAGCCACCACTGCTTGTTATGTAAAAATCTCATCATTCATTTACGTGTGTAAATGTTAAGCCAAACAAGATTCGAGCAAACAAACAAACAAAGGAACAAAGCAATCCAAAAAGTGGTTGATCGATTTAAAAAAGAAATTATTCTAGGACAGGCACACACACACACACACACACACCACACCACACACACCACACCACACACACCACACCACACGCACCACACACCACACCACACACACACCACACCACGCACCACACCACACACACACACACCACACACACATCACACGCACACACAAAAGTATGCAGCCCACAGTAATTGCCTCCAGCACAACACATCCGTGGGAACAACATACAGACAGTCTACAGTTGTTTAAAATTATTTCGCCAAAACTGGAACCGAGCCCTCAGTTGGACCCTAGAAGCATTGAGCAAAAATTACGTTAATTTTTTTAATTTTTCAATTTTTTTTTAAATTCTTTTGTGCAGTTATTTGTTTCGACAAAATTTTTGTCTCATATATTTTTCGATACGAAAATTCTCATAAGTCGTTTCGTTTGAATAACGATACGAAAAATTTCATATCGTTATAAATTGTCGATTGATAACGAAGATAGCGATTTGAGACGCCGACTCTTAAAAACATACAAACACCACTTCCACAATAGAAATACAAGCCTATAATATTTCGCGCGATTTGTTTATTTGGATTGTATATTTTTTACATCTTGTCAGCTGGCAAGTAATACAACCATTCTAATACTCTCCAATCAAGAATGACATCACTGTCACTCCCACTTTACATCAACATCACATCAACAAACATCGCATCAACAAACATTGCATCAACATCAACATCATATCAACATCGCATCAACATCACGCTAACATATACAAAACATCAACAATTAGATAACATTATTAATCAAAAAACATCATAAATCACAAATTGAAACATAGAAAAAAACACATAAACAAACAACATACAAAACGCCACAAATAACATCACGAGTAACAACAACAACATCGTGAATAACAATAACAACAACAGGAATTACAACAACCCGAATAACAACAACAACAATAACAACAACAACAACACGAACAACAAACATAACGGCATCTTCTTCAACCTGCCCCCACGCATGTTTTTATAACTCAAGTGTTTCTTTTCGTCGTACCTGACACCAGCAGAGGCGCCGCAAGAAAACATCATCACCATCATCACTACCACCTCGTAAAATCGTCGTCATCGTAACATCGTCATCATCACTACCACACCAGTACATCACCACCATCATCAATTTTATTACTCCACTATAATGTCAAAATTAAAATCCTCATGACATCATCATCATCATCATTACGACATCATCATTATTACCACCATTACATCATCATCACGACTACCCCGTACAAGTTTGACATCTTATCATTACACACGTTAAAATTCATCAACTTTGTCATCGTGGCAACAAAAACTTCGCCATCGACTTATGATCATCATCCCTTTATCACCTTCATCATCACCATTTTAATCGCATCATTGTAACCACCATCATCATCAACAACAACATCGTCACAACTATAGAAAAAAATTATACATTATAGTTATAAACCGCGGATTTAACCATAACCAAACGCCATTCAAGGACCAGCATCATCAAAACAATCTCATCATTCTCATTACTTTCATCACCATCAGTATCATCACAAAGTAGTAATAACATTTTCATCATCATCGTAGTCATCGTCGTCATCTTCATCATCATCATCATCAACGATAACAACAACAAAATCATCTTTTATTATTATTGTTGTTGTTATTATTATTATTATTATAAGAAATTCATAAATAACAATTTGTTTAGGATAGATAGAAAATGGCGCCATCGTTAATAACAGCATGTCACAGAACTTAACAAAACAACCGATTCTTAATGATGGGCATTGTAAAGACATGTAAAACAAAATAATCTTGTAAAGATAACATTAATAACATTATATCAACATCATTAGCTTCATCAACATTATCAACATCTTTAGCATCATCAACAATCTCGACATCTTCAACATCATCAACATTCTCAACATCTTCAACATCATTACCATTTTCTCAACATCACCAATATCATCAACATCCTCGACATCATCAACATCTTCAACATCATCAACAGTCTCAACATTATCAACATTTTTAACATCATCAACATCCTTAACATCTTCAA